CCAAAAGTGACAGAAAGATAAGCAAATGTGGAAACACTTTATCTGTACATTGCCAAATTTTTGAAGGGTGCAAAGGTGCAACTTTCAGGGTAAGGAAACAGAACCTGTATAGTTTCTTCTTCACACTTTCGCACCTTTGCACCCAGTTTATTCTGTCCGAAGTGGTTAGACTGGAACCTTATCCGCCACAATTTCTCAAATTTAGGCACCTTCCCCTGCACCCCTCCAGACAATGATTGAGAAAAACAATGATTCTTTGCAGCATCTGCACTTTGATCTGTCTCGGGGGGAACTGGATGCCGGGCCTGTCACATGAACTGAGGCCAGCTCAGGAGTCTTAGAGGTGGTCGTTTGGACGGGAAAAAATCAAGAAAAAATTGAGCCTCGCCAGTTCAAGATTCGTTGGCACCTTCAAAATTGTTATCTTTCTGTGTGTGGAGCAGCACCTCGCCATGTCCAGAGGGTTTGTTTTCAGCACCTGAAATCAGACTTTTTGGAGGCACCTCTTGTTCGAGACCCTGGTTGCCAAACTCGTAGTTGCTACTGTATGATGTGTGACGCTGATGTTTGCGACAACGCGCCTCAAGAAAGTATTTAAATGGGGCGTCAAACATTGAACGACTTGGCGGAAGCCATGAAGGCGTTGGACGGAAAAAATTTAATGGGGCGTCAAACAAGCCCCTGGGAGGCACCAGATTCAGAATGCTGACGGCCCAGTTTTAGACCCTTGCGCAAAGCAAATATATTCACCACGCTTCGCGTGGGGGGGCCGCCCACACCGCAGGTTTATTTCGGTCCGTCAAGAGAGACAAATGTCGGAAAAACCGTTAACTGAACGGCAGAGACTTTGATATTTCATTTCAAGAGAAGAAACAAGTTCAAGAGAGTGTGGCGTCTGCATAAATTTCATGGTTTGTTGCTCGGCGTGTTGCCAACGGAAAGTGGGGTGGTTGGTGTGAGTTTGGCTCAACGAACGAGTGTTGCTTACCGCATTTCATAAACCAGAGTAAACGTTTGCGACATGCCATCGGTTGTTCATTATAGTATATATGGATGACACTCATTACTCACACTCCGCCATTGACAACGGCGTTTTCGTCACTCGTGGCAACCATGGAAGAGATAGCGGGCAATGTCGGGGCCTTGAAATTTATACGGTCAAAAATTGCACTGCATAAATTTGCAACAACTTTCTGGACTGAATTTCTTATGTTTCTTAGCCACAAAACCAGATTTTTTCTCATTTTTGGTGCCGATATGTTTGGATCCCAATGTGGGTGCGCAAGCAACCAACCCCCTAATAGTAAGGTCGGAAAACTCGTCGACGGGCAGGCAGGCGGTATCAGTGGCGATGTTGGGTTGCTTTAGCGACATTTCCATGGCATTGGGGGAGCTCCATCATTGTATCCAGGTTGCTTTAGCGACATTTCCATGGCATTGGGGGAGCTCCATCATTGTATCCAGGTCAAAATTGACGAATCTTTGGAAACATTTTCTGCCGAGCAGCGCTTCCATGGTGAACGGCTGGACACAATAGAGTCACTGGGCCGTGGTCTTTGTGGCGTTGTTTTTTTTGCAGCTACAGCTACATTGGGGAGTGTTGGGATGTGTTCCGGATGTTGCGCTCATTGTGATGTTCTGCAACAGTACAGGCGGAGTGGAGCGCAAATAGGGTGGTCTTGCAAAAAACATCTAAAAACGAATCCCATGCAATTCAGCATCTTGATTGTCGGCGCTTTCTTTTGACAGAGAGGGCAAACTGATGATCTGTGGGGCTATACATTGTGTATCATTATGTCAAAACCTCTGGAACACGATTCAAGCTCAGTTTGGACTCTGGACTAGATCTTCTGGCATAGCACGGGACATCTCAGATAGACCTTTTCGGGCGACGTGGCGATCGCAGAAGTGAGGTTGAAATGGAGCGGTGTTTCAAGCAGAAGTCTCATGACAGAGGATGCCCAGGACGGGCGGTGGATTCATTCATTTGAATTTTCTCGGTGATGCTGCTTGGTGCGGAGTCCGGACAACAAATCCATACAAATCTTCTAATATCTTAGAACCCTGCGCAAAGGCAGCCATGTCAGTTTCCAAAGAATATATATATATATATTTAATCAAGGTGTTGGTCGAAGTGAACTGTAGCAGGGATAACTAGTGATATGACATGAACGTTGAGACTATATATATATATATACACACCTAACAACTTTAATAAACTTTTCATATCATCATTGCATCACAGACGGGAAGAGGGGTAGAACAGGACGACGACCAGAGCCAGAGCACTCAAGGCCGCCTGGGGCCACTCCTGGAACCCTGGAACCTGCTGTCGGGTTGCAAAGCTGGATAAATACAATTTACTTTCGGCATTTTTCCCTACCTGGTGAGATATGATCATTTATGACAAATTTTTGACACATGGGAATTACACGTTCTATCTTGTTTTCTCCCTCGTAGCAGGAGGGTCAGTCAGTATGTCTTGGTTTTTCCCCAGATAGCGAAACAACGGGTTCTTACTTCAAGTATAGGATGCAGGGTGCTGCTGCAGAGCGCTGCTTCACGGTGCCGCTGCCAGGGTGGCGTGTGCTTTGAGCTGGCATGTTGGTTCCGCTGCAGTGCCGCCGCAGGGTGCTGCAGTTAGAGGGAGCTGGCTTGCTGGTGCCCCTGCAGGCTGCCGCTGCAGGGTGCTGCTTCAGGGTGCTGCTGTTAGAATGGTGTGTGCGCTGTGGAGCTGGCCTGCCGGTGCTGCTGCAGGATGATGCCGTTGCAGGCTGGCGCTGCTGGTTGCTGCTACAGAATGCTTCTTCAGGGTGCTGCTGTCAGAGTGCTGTGTGCGCTTTGGGTGTCGCTGCAGGGAGTGGCTGCGAGATCTCTATGGCAGGGCCATGATGGAGATTATGTGTATGCCGTAGCAAAAAAGGGACGTTTCGTTGCCACCAAAAAATATCTTTTGCTATCTGGGGTCAATGCTTGTGCAATTTTCCTTCGCCCTTTTTGGTTTTCAGGGTGGATCATCACATAAAGGGGTTGGTTGCGCAGAAAGTTGCTTGAAGGTCCGACCGTGCTTGGGCCAGACTGGCCCCAAAGTGCCTGGGATTGAATTGCAGAACTCGTAAATGGGTGAAATAGAAAGAGTGGAAGGAACGGCAACTTAATCTGAATAGTTGCGGGATTGTATGTATCACACGTGCACGCAGAGATGTGACCCGAAGAGACGTCCTCTTGAACAATAATTTTTGACATCAATAAACAAGGGGGATGGGATGATGAAGCCCGCAAACAGGAACCTGGGGTATTTCCCATATTTGATACTAGCATATGCCAAAAATTACGGACCCACAAACAACCACCTTTGTGATCAAACCCTAGAAGCAAACTCAGGGACTTCCGGGTGTTCTCGATTTTTGAACAACTCAACGAGGACATTTGGCAAGAGCCTTCTGGCCACATGTTCCAACTGATAAGTCGTCCGTCACACAAGGTGTCACGCAGCGCAACTTCGGCACGGATGGAGTTCGGCAATCAAACCTAACCACCTTGTGCCTTGGCTTTTGCAGAATCCAGGTGCCACAAAGTTCACTGGTTCCCCCGTGATGCTCAAGCAAGATTGGGGGTGTGGGTGTCCCAGTTGGAGAGCCACCATTCACAATCAGCCTCTAGGTATTGTTTATTTATGTTTATTGATGTTTATTTGTGTAGCCTGGATGTAGAAAACCCATTGGTTGGTGTCAATTCCACCCTGCGAGATTTTCCGGGTGGAGTGATTCTTCAGGACACTGGTGGACAAGCTCCTTAGTTGCACCCAGTGGGATGCCTTGGGAGACGGTCACGAATTTCAAGGGGTGTGACAGTGGCTCCTGGAATTTACCTTCAGAAACGCATTGGTTTGATCTCCATGATGTGCCGTTTACTCCCTAAAGTTCTAAGTGCAGTGCATCGGTTGATTCTTCAAAATCAGCTGTGCCTAAGCAGAGCTGAAGTAGTTCAGAACGACTTGGAAAGTCTCAGTTTCGATGTGAAGCAGAGGCGCCTCCCAATCATGGAAAGACAGAGGGTATCGTGTGGCATCCTGTGGGCGCATTTGCCCAGGATGGCCAACAACAATTCGTCGATGGTGCCGCAGGAGGGTTTGAACGCTGTGATCACATCGAGGCGCAAACGTATGGAGTGAACAAATGTCACATCAATGAGCGACTAAGTTGGCTGGCAGGTTCGCTCATTGTGTCCTGGCACCGAGCTCCAAGAAACGTATCGCGTCACTTGGTACCATCAGATTTGTTTAAGCAGCGATGCGATTGGAGAAAGACCAGGCCACAAGGATGTGCACTTAGATGACTTACAGCATCTTACAGCCCTGTTAGATCTGGTTACAGTAGCTACTTTGACCCTACAAATGGATTCAGCACGAGATCAGCCTCTTACCTGTGCAGCTGCCAGCTGAGAATTTGACCATGAAAAATCCGGTCAAACTATTCTCAAGAACCTCAAACGCCTCCTTTCTCCATTGGCCCCTCATTTTCGATCAGCCCAAATCTCTGCTGTTTGATCAGGCTTGACATGGTAGCCATGATCTTCCTGCTGTACGACCTTTGTATCACACCTGTTGCCATTGCATGGGATTTCCCCATGTCAGGATGGTTGCTGCGCCTTGACACTGTCCTGAGACGTGATGTTGGTTTTCTCTTAACCGCAGAATGCGTTTGGACGTGTTAATTCACCCTGCTTCGCGTGGGGTGGCCGCCGCTAGGTGTTGGGGTTATTGGATATTGGCGGGCTGAGGCTAGTGGAAGTCTGGAAAAGTTGGATAGAGCAGGCCTGGGGCGTCAGTTCAATTCCAGTTGGTGCCGGAAGTGTTGGAGTAGAAAAGGCCAGCCAGTGTAGAGGAGTCTAGAAGGTCAAGGCCTTGTTGGTTTCTCAGAGTGGATGCACGAGGGATTGTTACCCGCGTGACTGCTTGGATGGAGTGCGGTTCAAGGTTTCAGCTGTGAATTGTAGTGATGGGGAAGTGGAATCGCACCCCGGCCATCGCGAAGAAGCGATCTGGCCCAAGTGGCATCGGGTTTAGCCCGCAGAAAAGGAGTGTCGGTGGTGCCAAGGTAATTTGCTGCCGCTATTCGGATGTAGCCAATGTGTTTTCAGATCGTGGTGGCAGAGGCATCCTGCAGGACTCGGATCCGACTTCGAAGCTGTTTGGCTTTTTTTTTGTCCCTGGAGAGACCCAGCCGTTGCTGTACAAGTTCACGGAATGTTTGCGTCAGTTCATGGAGGAGCAAGGAGACAATTTGGATAACTTCTGTGAGGCCAACTCGATGAAGCTGGTAACATCGAATGGATGGGATCCAATGCGGTTGGGTATGGTGAACTTTTCAAGAGCTGCCGACATTGCTATCCCCGAAGACCAGATTGGGCCGGTTGTGAGAAACATGATTTTGTTCTTTGATGACTTCCTTCGTTGGCGTTTCTCCAAGGTGACTGCAAAGGTGAAGCTTGTGGAATGGATCTTGCCATCCAATGTGGAGATGTCCTTGGAAGAGTTGGAGTGCCCAGGTGTGTCAGTGTCACGTGGAGACTATGCGGTGAAGAGTGCGCTTCTTGGAAACCTTCATGGTTTTGAGGGCCCTGCTGGCCCGAAGCACCTGGTGCTCGTGGTGGAGTTCGTGCAGGAGCAGATTGCTTTGACTCTGGATGGTGATGGCTACCCGCATCGTAGCCTGTTACAGCCTTTCCAGCAGATTCGGGAGCGCACCGATGGGTCCAAAGAGTACAGCTACAGTACAGGTTTGATTGACTACTCCGATGCGATCGGTCATGAGATCGTTGGCAGTGCAATTCACCATCGCTATGTTCTGATGAAGCCGGCGTTGACTGTGGAAGAGATTCCTTCAGTGGCTGCTGTCAAGTGCTGGAACTCGTTGTGTGAATTGCCCAATTCGCTGGGCGAAGAGATTTCGCTTGCGCAGGCCAGGGTTTTGGAGTTGCTTTGAGCATGTTCTGGAATGGTTTTTAGCTTTGGAGTGATTTTGCAGGTGCAGACGCGTTGGCCGGATGCTACAGCAGTTGCGCTTGGTATTCGTGCTTTGCATGTGCGGAGGCACGGGCTTGAATTCTGACTGGGTTTGCTTGTTCACCGTCAGTATGTAAGAGGCTCCGGGCGACGGAAACACCGTGGAGACGCCAGTGGAGGCGGGGCGGATGCATGTTGGTTTCAAGTGTGGTTGGCTCGCCGCGGACGGGTCGGTGTGGTAGAAGCTCGGCCATTGAAAAGCGAAGACGAACGAAAGCTGATGGTGAATAGAATGTTTCAGGTGTATGTGACTAGCCATGGAAAGCAGTGGAAAAATGAATGGTTTGGATCGACTTGAGAGTAGAACTTGTAAGTGATTGGGTGTTGGAAGGACAACATCATCACAATCTGAGAAGAAACAATTCGTTTTTTTTTTGCCAGGCAGTGATGGATCCAGCCGGACCAGTTGGTGCATCCGAGGTTAGAAGAGCCGGAGGGTTGGTAGCAGAGTTCATTGCGTTGAAAGAAAGTGCCGCCAGGCAATCATGGTGCCAGCAGAAGCATTTGGTGGACCGGAGGCTAGCAGAATGGGAAAGTTGGTATGTGGCCGAGTTCATGGATCTTGAGTAATGTGTTGTCAAGCAGTGAGGCTTGCATCAAAAACCAAAGTCATACCACAATTCAGGGGTGGTGGAATGTGAAACCATGGTGAGCATTGTAGAAACCGATGCTTTGGATCGACGTTACATTGAAAGCATGTAAGCAAAGAACCACGCAATCATGTTGTGCTGCCAGGCAGTGATGGCTCCACTAGGACCAGTTGGTGGAGAGGCCAGCAAAATGTCCCCCTTCTGTGGCCGCCCCGGTGTGTGGAAAGCAGGTGTTTTCCCCCCACTGGGGGCTTCCCACTGCGTGGAAAAACGGTCAAGTAGAACTTTGGGTCGTTTTGGGGGTGTTTAGTGGTAATGTCAAAACGAAGACACATGAAAGGACACGGTAGATGGAGGGTTTCAGGGGTGTTGGTATGTCAAACCATGGGAAGCATTGTAGAAACCAACGCTTGGGATCGACGTTACATTGAAAGCATGTAAGCAAAGAACCACGCAATCATGTTGTGCTGTCAGGCAGTGATGGCTCCAGCGGGACCAGTTGGTGGAGAGGCCGCCCCGGTGTGTGGAAAGCAGGTGTTTTCCCCCCCCGGGGGCTTCCCACTGCGTGGAAAAACGGTCAAGTAGAACTTTGGGTCGTTTTGGGGGTGTTTAGTGGTAATGTCAAAACGAAGACACATGAAAGGACAGGGTAGATAGAGGGTTTCAGGGGTGTTGGTATGTCAAACCATGGGAAGCATTGTAGAAACCAACGCTTGGGATCGACGTTACATTGAAAGCATGTTGTGCTGCCAGGCAGTGATGGCTCCAGCAGGACCATTGGGTGGAGAGGCCAGCAAAATGTCCCCCTTCTGTGGCCGCCCCGGTGTGTGGAAAGTAGGTGTTTTCCCCCCCCTGGGGGCTTCCCACTACGTGGAAAAACGGTCAAGTGGGACTTTGGGTCGTTTTGGGGGTGTTTCCTGGTAATGCCAAAACGAAGACACATGAAAGGACACGGTAGATGGAGGGTTTCAGGGGTGTTGGTATATCAAACCATGGGAAGCTTGCAGAAACTAACGCTTGGGATCGACGTAGCAAAGAACCACGCAATCATGTTGTGCTGTCAGGCAGTGATGGCTCCAGCGGGACGAGTTGGTGGAGAGGCCAGCAAAATGTCCCCCTTCTGTGGCCGCCCCGGTGTGTGGAAAGCAGGTGTTTTCCCCCCCCTGGGGGCTTCCCACTGCGTGGAAAAACGGTCAAGTAGAACTTTGGGTCGTTTTGGGGGTGTTTAGTGGTAATGTCAAAACGAAGACACATGAAAGGACACGGTAGATAGAGGGTTTCAGGGGTGTTGGTATGTCAAACCATGGGAAGCATTGTAGAAACCAACGCTTGGGATCGACGTTACATTGAAAGCATGTAAGCAAAGAACCACGCAATCATGTTGTGCTGCCAGGCAGTGCTGGCTCCAGCAGGACCAGTTGGTGGAGAGGCCAGCAAAATGTCCCCCTTCTGTGGCCGCCCCGGTGTGTGGAAAGTAGGTGTTTTCCCCCCCCTGGGGGCTTCCAACTACGTGGAAAAACGGTCAAGTGGGACTTTGGGTCGTTTTGGGGGTGTTTCCTGGTAATGCCAAAACGAAGACACATGAAAGGACACGGTAGATGGAGGGTTTCAGGGGTGTTGGTATATCAAACCATGGGAAGCTTGCAGAAACTAACGCTTGGGATCGACGTAGCGAAGAACCACGCAATCATGTTGTGCTGTCAGGCAGTGATGGCTCCAGCGGGACCAGTTGGTGGAGAGGCCAGCAAAATGTCCCCCTTCTGTGGCCGCCCCGGTGTGTGGAAAGCAGGTGTTTTCCCCCCCCCTGGGGGCTTCCCACTACGTGGAAAAACGGTCAAGTAGAACTTTGGGTCGTTTTGGGGGTGTTTAGTGGTAATGTCAAAACGAAGACACATGAAAGGACACGGTAGATAGAGGGTTTCAGGGGTGTTGGTATGTCAAACCATGGGAAGCATTGTAGAAACCAACGCTTGGGATCGACGTTACATTGAAAGCATGTAAGCAAAGAACCACGCAATCATGTTGTGCTGCCAGGCAGTGATGGCTCCAGCAGGACCAGTTGGTGGAGAGGCCAGCAAAATGTCCCCCTTCTGTGGCCGCCCCGGCGTGTGGAAAGTAGGTGTTTTCCCCCCCTGGGGGCTTCCAACTACGTGGAAAAACGGTCAAGTGGGACTTTGGGTCGTTTTGGGGGTGTTTCCTGGTAATGCCAAAATGAAGACACATGAAAGGACACGGTAGATGGAGGGTTTCAGGGGTGTTGGTATATCAAACCATGGGAAGCTTGCAGAAACTAACGCTTGGGATCGACGTAGCAAAGAACCACGCAATCATGTTGTGCTGTCAGGCAGTGATGGCTCCAGCGGGACCAGTTGGTGGAGAGGCCAGCAAAATGTCCCCCTTCTGTGGCCGCCCCGGTGTGTGGAAAGCAGGTGTTTTCCCCCCCCTGGGGGCTTCCCACTGCGTGGAAAAACGGTCAAGTAGAACTTTGGGTCGTTTTGGGGGTGTTTAGTGGTAATGTCAAAACGAAGACACATGAAAGGACACGGTAGATAGAGGGTTTCAGGGGTGTTGGTATGTCAAACCATGGGAAGCATTGTAGAAACCAACGCTTTGGATATACTTGAAATTGAAAAGATGTACAGTATGGTGTACTTGAAGGATAACCATGTCACAGTCCTAGACAAAAAATCTTATTGCTGATGTCTGTTTGTTGAAAGAAGTGAGGCCAGACAAGTGGGGAAGTTGGTAAGAAATGCCTGTGCAGTTTTGCTGCCAGGCAGTGATGGCAGCACCAGATGGTGGACTTGAGGCCAGCAGAGCGGGAAAGTTGGTAGCAGAGTTCATAGATCTGAAATAATGCATCGTCAGGCAGGTATGGTGGAAGGAGGATCAGCAAGTAGAAATGAGGCCAGCAATGTGTGAACTTTGTTTGCTGTGGCAGGCATCGATTGCAGAGCCACTTGCCAAGAGACGTCGGCTTTTGAAGGCGCCGACAATTGCTGCTGTGTGAAGTGGCTGTGGTGTAGCCCGGGCAGGCGGCTGAAGTGGTGAGCAGCGATGAAGACGGGAACTAGACGACTGCTCTTCTCCAGCACAGGCATATAAGGAAAGGAAAAAGTGGCTTTGTGAGCGTGTTGTGGTTGGCACCATGCCTTTGGTTGGCAGATTGTAGCAGAAGTTGGCGTTTGAGGAAGAGCTGGCTCGTGAGTTGTTGCCGTTTGATAGGTTGGTGCTGTACCACATGTATGGCAGTCGTCGGAGTGGAGCTCAGAAGTTCAATGGAGGAAGCGACATACTTATATATATATGATGATTGAGATGGTTTAAGTAGCAGCCAATGCAGTTCATGGAGCAGGGAGCAGGTCGGTAAGCGGAGAGCAGCTGTGAGGATTTTATTGTCGGTGTTTGGACCTACATGAGTTGACTTGCTTTGGGCTTTGAATTGGGAACGTAGAGGAGAAGTTGGGTTCATACTGCCAGTGGGTGTTGGTGGAGGATAAGCTACATGCGCGGGTAGTGTTGTTGTGGTTCGAATGGGTGGGACTGCTGAGGCTCTTTGGGAATGGCGAGCAAGAGTTGGTCTTGTCAGGCCCGGATACTGTTTCGGCAAAGGGAGTTGTGGTGCGTGTGGTTGGATGTAGATGTTGCAATGCTCAAGGAAAAGAAATTAGAATGGGAAAGGCAAGCAAAGGTTTTGCCATGAAGAAAAAAAAGGTGATACGGAAGCGAAAGTCTTCCGCCATGTACCGGAGAGAGCAGAAAGACAGGCAGCGTAGAACCGAAGTGAGAACGCATAATTTCAAGTTGCCTGGTCATGCGATTGTGCGGTTTGAGGAATCCTTCTGGAAGTTATTCATAGCGCGACAGTGTCTGACTGTGAAGCGGCGGCACAGTGAGATGGCTGATGTGGCGCTGCCGCACGAAGGGCATGTGTTTTTGGGCCAGAGAGTGGCAGACTGGCTCATGAAGTATGACTTTGAAGAGCCAGTGGCATCGAATTCGACCTGGCATCGCAAACGGGTGAATGTGATTGAACAGGTGGCTTTGGTAGGTGTGAAGGCGGCAAAGGCAATAGCCCCAGAATTGATTGGTTTGATTGTGACATTCATGGTTTTTTCACTGGAAGTGACTCGTTTTTGGGCACGCTTGTGTCGAATGTGGACTTGATTAGCTGGAGTTGCTTGGAGACATGTAGCAAGACGATGAATATTGGAGGAGTTTTCGGTAATGTGTTGGCAAAGGTGGTGGAGAACCCCTTCCATCGAAGGTATTCCCCGCAGAAAATTTATGCGAATGAATGGGCAAAAGCAGCAACCAGATCGCATAGCTTTGATGTTGTGGAGGAGCACAGCAGCGATGAGGAAGAACAGGTGGCATGTGAGGAGCAGCCGGAGAAGAAAGTTAGGGATGCTTTGCGTGAGGCGTGCTTGCACAAACTTGTGCGCGAGAAGCTGCC